TAAAGAGCAAGTCATAATTTCTCATGTTTTAGGGGTCTCTGAAGGTCCCTTCCTCAGGCCAGATAAATCTACATAAATAAGACAATACTAAATTGTTATGGGCATGCATCAATTTTCTAGTTGATTCTTCAGAATACAAAATCCTCAATGATATTAACACCTAGAATTTCTTACTTGTGGTTTTGTACAAGGTTTGAGTCCTGCTGAAATGGCCCTATATTTTTTTTAGGGTAATGTACTGTGAAAAAGAAAAACACAAAAGAGGAGCTTCTCTTGGAGGACTAACAAGATAAACAATAGAGGAAAGAGGCATGGACTAACAACATTCAAGGGTGCTCAGCATCGCAGATTAACATCTCTAACTAATCAACTCATATGCTGGCTGTAGAATGTAATAATATAAACAAGGCAAGCACTACTACTAAGAAGTCAGAATTGTAACTAAGAAGAATACCTGCATGACCATTTGCAGAAGATGCATGCAAGTAATTGAGCTTGAAATCCACCCACTGTTAGCACATAAATCTGTTGGTGTATAAGTGTGATTGCTGAAATGTAATCAGAATAGGAAGTTTCTATTCTTTGTTTAAAAGGCTGCGTTGGATCATAGTCCAAGTGTACAGCAGAGAATGTAATAGCTTTGTGCCAGGTGTCATTATCTCATAGGGTAGTGAAATGAAGGGTTAGATTTTGAATGATGTAAAGAGGAATATTCCAACAGTAATATATGCACAGTGAGTGCGTGAGTGAAGCAATAGCTCATTGCTTCTTCTCTAAGCTCATTTCTGGTTTTCATCTCTCTCTCTCAATCTCTGCATTTTTCATTTTTCTCTAAGATCTGGAGCTCCATCTACCAAAAATCCAAATGGTTCAGATCATAGTCTGAACATTCTAACATGGCCTCAGAGCCAGGTTCGATCAATTAACACTGGGCGTTTGAATTGGTGAGCTATCGAAGCTGCAGCTGAGTTTGAGTTCTGCAGATCTGAGTCTAACATGGCTGGGTCAAGTGGTGGTGAAATGAGAGCACCAATTTTCAATGGTGAGAACTATGATTTCTTGAGTATAAGGATGAAGACCATCTTCAAATCTCATGGACTGTGGGATTTGGTGATAAAGGGATTTGATAGTACAGATCTGAAGAAGTCAGATGAATCTGATGCTAAGAAAAAGGAGAAAGAAGAATCAAGTGGTAGTGGGAAAGACATGGTTGCTGAGGTACTCATGAAGGATGCTAAGGCTCTTGGATTGATTCAAGGAGCAGTTTCAGATGAGATATTCCCATGAATCTCTCATGAGGAGACATCAAAAGGTGCCTGAAACATTCTGCAGCAAGAATACCATGGAGATAAGCAGGTAAGAGGTGTTAAATTACAAAGCCTTTAGAAGAGAGTTTGAATATACAAGGATGAAAGATGATGAATCATTAACTGCTTACATTACCAAACTGTTTGATTTGATAAATCAAATGCGAAGTTATGGGGAGGAATTGCCTATGGGAAGGGTTGTTCAAAAATTGCTCATTAGTTTGCCATCTGCCTATGATTCTATCTGCTCTGTTATTGAGCATTCGAGAGATCTGAATGTAATTGAAGTACAGGAGGTAGTGGCCTCATTGAAGAGTTTTGAATTAAGGCTGGACAGACACTCTGAAAACAAAACTGAGAAGGCATTTGCTAGCCTCAGTGTGGATGCCAAATCAGTTAAAACTGGTGATCAAGCTTCTAAGCAAAATAAGAGTTGGAAATCAAAAGGCAAGAAGTGGGATAACAAACCAAATGATGGTGCTAAAAATCCTTGCAAGCACTGTGGCAAATTACACTTTGGAGAGTGTCGATTCAAGGGCAAACCAAAGTGTTTCAACTGTGACAAACTTGGTCACATAGCCAAAGATTGTTATAGTAAGAAACCAACACAGCAAGTCAACTATGCCAACCAAGTAGATGCTACTCCAACTATGTTTTATGCTAGCAATAAAACTAATGCTAGTATAAAAGGAGGTGATGAGGTGTGGTACTTGGACAGTGGATGTAGCAACCATATGACAGGAAGGGAGGATCTACTTGTTGACATTGACAGAAATGTGACTGCAAAAGTTGAAATGGGAACTGGGCAGCTTGTTGAAGTCACTGGTAAGGGCAGCCTTGTGGTTGAAACCAAAATGGGGAAAAAGTATATCAAAGAAGTTATGCTTGTGCCTGGTTTGAAAGAAAACTTACTGAGTGTGGGCCAGATGATAGAGCATGGTTATTACTTGGTGTTTGGAGATCACAAGGTGGAGATTTACAATGACAGTTCTTATTCCAATTTGATTGCAAGGATACAAATGAGAGGAAATCGAAGTTTCCCAATCAAATTCGAGGCTGAAATGCATTTTGCCTATAAGGCAAGTGTTTGTCACTCTACTGATAAGTGGCATAGAAGATTGGGGCATCTAAATATGAGCAGTCTGAAGTTACTGCAAGAACAGGAAATGGTTGTGGGATTGCCATAAATTACAGCTGTTACAGAGGTCTGTGAAGGTTGTATTCTAGGCAAACAGTGCAGAGAGTCATTTCCAAAGGAAGCCTCTACTAGAGCATCAACTCCTCTAGAGTTTGTACGAGAGGTCTGTGAAGGTTGTATTCTAGGCAAACAGTGCAGAGAGTCATTTCCAAAGGAAGCCTCTACTAGAGCATCAACTCCTTTAGAGCTTGTACACAGTGATATCTGTGGTCCAATGCAAACAACTACAAAAGCTGGAAATCGATATTTTCTCACTTTCATAGATGACAGCACAAGAATGCGTTGGGTTTATTTTTTAAGACAAAAGTCTGAGACTCTGAGTGTATTCAAGAGATTCAAAGCCACTGTGGAATTGCAGAGTGGTTATAAATTAAAGAAGCTTAGAAGTGATCGAGGAGGAGAATACACCTCAGGAGAGTTTTCGTCCCATTAGTCTTTGTTCAACTCTGAGTGTACCTAAGGTTGATAATCCCCTGGCTATGGTGCATTTTCATCCCATTAGTCTTTGTTCAACTCTTTATAAAATTATCTCCAAGATCATTGCGGCTAGATTGAGGTCTATTTTGCCTGTTCTAATTAGTCCTAATCAAGTTAGTTTTGTGCCTAGAAGGCATATTACAAACAACATTCTTATTGCCCAGGAGCTTGTGCATAAGTTCAAGGTTTCTAAGGCCAAGAGAGGGTTTATGGCTTGGAAGATTTGGGGGCCTGCTGCAAATGGTATGTTCTCTGTAAAAACTGCTTATACTATCTTGTTTCATGTTAGTGAGTGGCCTTCGTATGACTGGCAGTTCTTGCAGAAATTAAAGATTCCCCCTAAGCTTCAAATTTTCCTTTGGTTGGTTTTTCAAGACAAAATTTTGTGGGCTAGGAGGCATTTGACTGCTAATCCTGCCTGTAATTACTGTAATTGGCTAGTTGAGTCCAATTTGCATATTTTTAGGGACTGTGAGAAGGCTACTAGTGTTTGGTATATACCAAATTCACGACGGTGAATTCCCATCGTCTTTTGCCTTTTTTGTAGTAGTGTATGCTATGCTTTGTCCTGGTGCTCATTCCATTTTTTCCAAATGGATTTCCATCCTTGGCTTCGATCTAATCTTTTGTCTAAGGCTATGTGGGTGAATATTTGCCATGAACTTTAGTTTTTGTTTTTACTTGCTGGGTCTTATGAAAATGGAGAAATAATCATATTTTTAATATGGATGATGAGGTCAGTTATGAGCCCAAGAAGATTATTGTTGCTGTTGTAAGGGAGTAGTCTACGGCAAGCCATGTTGGTGATACAAAGGCTCCTAAAATTCTTCTTTTGCTTGCTTGGGAACCTCCTAAGCTCGAGCAGTTTAAGCTTAATGTGGATGGGTCTAGAAGGTGTGCTTCAGGCTAGCTTTATTGGTGCTGGATGAGTGATTCGTAATTCCTTAGGGGATTGGGTCAGTGGTTTTGTTGTGAACCTTGGTAAGGGGCTGATTCTGGAGGCTGAAGTTTTGGGGCATGTTTTTTGGTTTGCAACTTGCTATCGCTAAAGGCATTCGTAGGCTCACTGTGGAAATGGATGATGTTATGGCTGTACTCCTAGTTCAGCAGTATTCTAGGCTTGGCTCTCATCCTCTAGCTTCCTTGATTGCTAGTTGTTGTGCAATGGTGAGACAAATACCAAAAACTTGGGAAGGAGACTGGGTCAAAGACCAAAATAACAATGTACATAATAAAATAATAAATATTTATCAATTCTAGCCATGCATACAATAGATAAACAAACCAGTCAACAAAATTGAGTAAGCAAGGGAATGTGCTAAGATGAAAAGCAACAAAACATAGGTCTTCTAGTGATGAATTCTTCCTCACTTCGGTATCTTCTAAGAAACCCATCACCCATCCATCATTAATAAAGACAAAAAGAAAAGAACATTATTGTTTATGAAAGAGTGTACGACGATAATTATTTTGAAGTGCTAATGACAATTCCCTTAATTGCTTTAAAAAAAGAGAAAAGGAAAGAACAAGAAGAAACTCTTATATGTAAAATTATGATTGAGTGAAAGATTATACTATTAGGTGTTGGTTTTATAAGCATGACATGCATATTCTCCTTTTGGCTCCAATAGCCGGCCGGCTTGATTTTAAATTTTTTCCATAACCAGCGACATTATTTTTAATTATAATAAGGATTAATTGTTCCTCAACCGCACGACAGATAACCTACCGTTGAGGACATGTCACAAAATAACATTATGCATATGACAAGGTTTGGTTTTTGTTCTTAACCTAGCGAAGTGTATATATGTATGCACACCTCTTTAGACCTAAATGAAAGTTGTCTGTAAGTCCCATATATACCTCCTTCAAGAGAAGAATAAAAAATCCCAGAAACATTCCTTAGACACCAAAATCTTCACTGCCTACGTTAATTTGATTCTCTTCAAGAATTAGCTAGACACTAGTATATATTAATTAGTTTGCTTAAGTGTACTTAAAGGGTAATTAAGGCAGCCATGGCTCCAGCAGCTGCCGGAGAAAGGTCTCTAAAAGAGACACCCACATGGGCTGTTGCCATTGCCTGTGCAGTTTTCATACTTATTTCTATAATTATAGAACAAGCAATTCATGCTCTTGGAAAGGTATGTACCTAAATACGTATATCTACATGTATAACGCAGGATTTTAAATGTCTTTCCATGATTTTAATGTTTACTTTTATAATGACAGTGGTTCCAGAAACGCAATAAGAAAGCTATGCTTGAAGCTTTGGAGAAAATAAAAGCTGGTCAGTTTAATTTTTATATCATTACTTACATTAATTATGCGAATATATTTTTTTTCCTCTGTGTGATGATAATTTTCATATGCTTTGTTATGGGTGCATATGCATGCAGAGCTCATGCTTTTGGGATTCATATCTCTGCTACTTACGGTGGGCACAAGATATCTTCCAAAAATATGCATCCCAGAAAAGTATGGTAATACGATGCTGCCATGTGAGCTAGAGAGCAAGTATAAAGAGGATGGGGGCGGCAAGGATGATGGCAAAAACAAAGGAGGAGGAGGAGATGGCGGTGATGATAATGACAGACGACGAAAGTTACTTGAATTTGCTGAAACCATGATATGGCGTCGAGTTTTAGCCCCTAGTGGAGGAGATTCCTCTGCTTGTTCAGAGGTGCGTAAGTAATTAATTCATTAAATCAACATTAATATTATAATATACACCTAATTAATGAAATGAACTAATAAAAAATAAAGAATATTTATATATCCAACCGCATAATAGAATTTTGTAATAAGTCGAATTGCGACGTAAATCATCAAATTCAAATATATATTTTTTTGCATTTGGTGCTCTTAGTTAGTTAAATATTTTGTACATATGTACTGTAGGGTAAAGTGCCGCTGATATCTCCATCTGGGATGCACCAATTGCACATCTTCATCTTTGTGCTTGCTGTTTTTCATGTTGTGTACAGTGTCATTACCATGGCACTAGCGCAGGCCAAAGTAAGTACCATCACAATGTGACACGTACAATTATGCTCTATATTTATACATAGCCTAGCACATGAATTTGGAATTACAACTTTAAAAAGTAGGTTTTTTTACCAGACTGTCTGACAATATAAATTGTTCGCGTTTCAAAATGAACTAGATCATTGATCATATTTATTCGTTTTTTAATGTAATTCCATGTATATATCTATGTTGAGGCAGGCCAAAGTAAGTACCATCACACTGTGACACGTACAATTATGCTCTATATTTATACATAGCCTAGCACATGAATTTGGAATTACAACTTAAAAAAGTAGGTTTTTTTACCTGACTGTCTGACAATATAAATTGTTCGCATTTCAAAGTGAACTGGATCATTGATCATATTTATTCATTTTTTAACGTAATTCCATGTATATATCTATGTTGAATATGGCAAGAAATTGAGGAATTGCAACTTGTGTAACAGTAGTATTAGCCCACAAAGAACCCACTAGTACTGGTTTTGGAGTAATTGCTCCTTTAGGAAAGATCATGGGTGCGTACTAGTTCTAGCATCCGTATAATATGTGGGTGAGTTTAGTATAGTATCGCTTATCTCAATAGGAAATGTCCTTAATATTAACCTATTAATTTGATAAAATTGATAAAATATGATTTAGCTTTATTATTTATCGTAGTAATGGGGTCAGAATTTGGGATCCAATAATGAAGCATTAGAATATATTTATACTTCTGCATCTCAGAATATATACACTTGGCCTTTTCTACTCGTAATTTTGTGGCTTGGCAGTTCTCTAGCCGTGGCATGGAAATGTGATATGAGGACTGGACCACCTCAAAATCTTTTTGGATAGTAGAATTCCCATTTAGATTTCAAATAAAAGTTCATAAGTTAATTAGAAATTATGTAATTTATTGTGATATATATAATAAAATTTATAAAATTCATTGAACAATCCAAACTTTTCCCATCGTTTCTCAGAAACCAAACTTGAAAAAAAAAAAAAAAAGGAATCTATATAGTTGTTTAATCGGCTCTTCTGTTGACTAGATGAAGAAATGGAAAGCTTGGGAATCAGAGACATCGTCCTTGGAATATCAATTCACAAATGGTATTAATTAACATTTTATTCTAATTTTATTTTACATTTTATTTTAAAATAGTTGTTCTTTTAGTCTTTGTTTCATGAATTGTTCTTCATCTCTCCTTCTCCATCTCCATCATTTTTCTAACATTTCCCAGAATTTCTGACACAATTTTAAAAGGGAAAATAAAATCTGAAAACAAAAACCAAACTGCTATAAACGAGTCAATAGTGATTGAACAATTGCAAATTATATATCTTATTTCATGTTCCAGACCCTTCAAGGTTCAGGTTTATTCGACAAACTTCGTTTATAAAGCGTCACTCAGGCTTTTCTACAATGCCTGGAATAAGATGGATTGTAAGTTAATTAGTAAATTAACGTGTACAATCTTGTTCTTTATTGGAACTTATAACCAAAGCTCTTAGATACAATACCAAAAAACACTTAACCAAAGCTTGTGCACTTACAGAACCTCTACCACATATGTACATTGTAGGTGGCATTTTTCAGGCAATTCTTTGGTTCAGTTACGAAGGTGGACTATCTGACCATGCGCCACGGATTTATCAATGTAATTATCAATTCCCTTTTTTTTTTCTTTTTTCTTTTTCTTTTTATGAACTACGTACTTTTGGTTTTATTTTATTTTATTTTATTGTGATATAGTTTTGGCCCAACCCTAATTGGCAAATGCATGCATATGCAGGCACATTTTGCTCCAAATAGCAAATTTGACTTCCATAAATATATTAAGAGATCCATGGAAGATGACTTCAAGGTCGTCGTGGGTATTAGGTCTCTCTCTCTCTCTCTCTAGCTTCCTTGTACTACTATATAACTATTGTTTATTAATTTGATTTCTTGATTTTGCAGTATACCACTATGGATTTTTGCCGTGGTGTTTTTGGTTCTAAATGTTCACCGTGAGACTCTGTCTCCTTCTTTTCTCTCTCTTCTAAAACAGACACACACACAGATATCACAAAAAGCACATTTTGCTTGGTGTTGGTGGTCAATATATTATTGATAAATAAATACCTCCTATTTTACAGAATGGCACACGTTCACTTGGTTGTCATTGGCGCCACTCGTTGTAAGACCGCGAAATCCAAGCTCTAGATATATTATATATAGTGCTAGCTTCTTCTTCGAGTCATGTATATATATATAAATATTTCTCCTATTAATTATTTAATAAACCTTAATTAATTAATTAATTTGTGCAGATTCTTCTTGTAGTGGGTACAAAGCTTGAGCTTATCATCATGGAGATGGCTCAAGAAATGCACGATCGAACTACAGTGGTTAAAGGCGCTCCCGTTGTAGAGCCAAGCAACAAATTTTTTTGGTTTAATCGGCCTGAGTGGATTCTCCTCTTAATTCATTTCACATTATTCCAGGTGAGAGCTATCAGAGTTTATATATGAACATCATATACTATATTTATAGTAAATTTATTATATTGTCAGACTGTAAATATGGACCGACCATCCGTAGAGTCTAAAATACATATATATGAAATGCTATGGATCAATATGGTTTCTAACAATTAATTGGTTTGCTTGCTGCATACACAGAACGCTTTTCAAATGGCGTATTTCTTATGGACATCTGTAAGTAATTAACCATAAAGCCATATTAAGAACTCTACATATTCAGAGGAATTAAGTTCATTATTATATTGGTAATTATGTGCACTGTCTCAACTTTATACTAACTATACATACTATGATATATATACGATGCAGTTGGAATTTGGGTTCACATCATGCTTCCATGAAAACTTGCCTCTGATACTGACAAGGGTTTTCCTTGGGGTAGCCCTACAGATCCTATGCAGTTACATTACCTTCCCTCTTTATGCTTTGATTACACAAGTGAGTATTTCAAATTAAACAGCCCTAGCCTTGCCTCTTTCAGTAATATGCATGCATGCTTTCATATTCATTTTTTTAATACAAGCGATAATTTAAATTACTATAAATGTAATGTACGGGGAGAGGGACTCAAACTTGGGTGCAAGAGAGTGGGCTCAATGGCCTGGGCAGCTTACTTAACCCACATTTGCACATGCTTTTGAGTTCTACTATTTCCACCCCTTGTTCTAATTCCTCACCCACCTCATATTCAAAATTTTAAAGACAAATTATCCTTTTGTAAAATGAATTTTAAGAACCAAAGGGAAAAAACTTTTTTAAAGCATTTCAAATAAATAAAATAAAATAATTTAAAACAAAAACTCTCTCTCTCTCCTCTCTCTCCCTTCCCGACCTGTTGGCTTCTTCCTCAGAGGTCATTCATCCTCGGTGCTAGAAGCCACTGCCACCGCAACACCAAAAACAACAAGCCCAAATGAAAAGGGTACTCTCATTTCACAACTTAGTCGCATTTTGAATAGATTATAGTTTGTTTCCTTTGTTTAAGCAAGCTAACTCCTTTGCTTTTCAAAGTCAACAAATGAAATTCCACAATTTCTCCATCGTCCCTACCATCATACCCACCCACCCTCCCTGCAATTTCTCACCACACCCACCCCTTCCGCAATCTCTATGTATCGGTTCTAGATCTCCATCCTTCCTAAAATTTGGGTTTCTGCCAAAAAAAGAAAAAGAAAAATGAAGACATAATTATCATTTTTTTTTGGCAGAAGGAGTTATTGTAAATAATAAAATTAATTAAAAATATAGAACATGGATGGGGTTGAAGGTGTAGAAATCTGTATGGGAGAAGGAAAAGTGGATGTGTTGGGTTTTCCCTAGAGGAGGAGGAGGAGAGAGAGTTTTTGTTTTTGTTTTTTATTTTAAAAAAAATATTATTTTACTTTAATAATTTAATGGTGGGTGGAAATATAGGATTGTGTGTTTTAAATTTTACATGGTGGGTGGAAAGATAAGGTGAGTAAAAAAATAGGATAAGGAGATGGAAATAGCAGCACTCTTTCATAGTCATAACATTGTAACTAAGTGGTCATCACTCAGTCTTTCAAATAACACCCTAATTTGGGGAAGCATTTTAGTTACAAGCACCTGAAAAAATAAGAAAAAAAGAAAAGAAAAAAAGAGTTGAAGTTTTTCTTTTTCGAGTAATTAATTTCTCTATAATGTATTTAATTACCTATATTTATGCATGCATGTATCTTATCTTAACGTGCAGATGGGATCTCACATGAAGAAAGCAATTTTCG